TGGCATCACAGCTCACAGCAACCTCTAACTCCTGGGCTCAAGTGAGTCTCCTGCCTCCGCCTCCCAAGTAGCTGGGACCACAGGCGCCCGCCACAACGCCCAGCTTTTTTTTTTCTTTGCAGCCATCATTGTTGTTTGGCAGGCCCGAGCTGGATTTGAACCCGCCACCTTAGGTGTATGTGGCTGGCACCTTAGCCACTTGAGCCACAGGTGCCGAGGTGAAGTCATCATTTTCATTAGCTAAAGTGCCACTGTCCTGGCTTGCTCACCTTACCTTATTCTTTTCTATTCTGGTAATAGTTCTAAAATATAAATGTTGTGTGCTTGCTTCAGATCTGTTAGTAATTGTTTTTAGAACAAACTCCTTAATGAAATTCTTTATGATTTAACTAATGACTTTCTTTCAAACCTTTCTGCTCACAGCTCTCTTCTCACTGTACACACTAAATTGAACTACTAGTAGCTCCCTTAACACCATGTGCCTTTCATATCTCTACATCTTTTTCACACATTAATATTACTTCTATTTGAAGTTACTTTTCAGTGTATGTCTTGATGAATACCCTCCTCCTCTATCAAACTTCAGGTCACATTTACACTCTCCCAGAAGTGTTCACTTCTGTTGGTTATGTTTCTTCATCCGAAGTATTTATTGGATTTCTCCAACATGCACAGTGCTAAACTAAGCACTATGGGGAATAAATGCATGTGTAAGTTTTTGCCAATGTCCTCTAGTGTAGCAGTCCATATAGCCTATAGCTAGGAAGAGTGAGAATTATAAGAAATACCTGTATAGCTCAATAATGGAACACCTTGGTGGAAAGGGCATGGAGAGGGATTTAGCTCTCCTAACAAGCACAAGAGCTCGCGAGATGAGAGCATTGGTGAATTGGCAGTCTCTACACTCTCTCTCTCTCTCCTGCTGAAGTAGATAGCCCTCAGGCACCTAAGAGAAACTGTTCCTGAGCAAGTACTTAGTGCTCTGCATCTGGAACCTATTTAAGCCAGGCCTGAGACCCGGCCAGTCCTGGGCCCTGCCACTCTAGAATATTACAATCTGGTTGCAGAGACAAAAAGTACCCATAAAAATTAAGCAACATTATACACGATCATAACTTTGTATTTCTATAGCCTTGACCTTTCACATCTTTGGTTAAATGGTTTTTTACACATTTTTAAATGGATATTTATCCTAATTCAGAAGGTGCAAATGGAATTTTTGAAAAGTAACTAAATTTGGACAGTGCCTGTGGCTCAAAGGTGTGCCAGGCCCATATACCAGAGGTGGTGGCTTCAAGCCCAGCCCTGGTCAAAAACTGCAAAAAAAAAAGAAGAAAAGAAAAGGAAAGAAAAGTAACCAAATTTTATAAATCACCAAAACTCAAAATGTTAGCTTCTTTTGATTTTTTTCTCTTTGCATTTTCTTTTATAATCTATTATTTTAATGAATATCTTTTTTCTTTCCTGTTTGCTTCACTATCACTCTTCTAACATATATTCTTTTAACTCATAGCTGGATATTTCCTGGTTTTCCTGCTGCTACTTTCTCTATACTCCAGGTCTTATACTTCTATTTGATCAACATACTTAAACTCTTATTTCTTTATGTCACTTTCCTGCATTCTGAAAAGGCATTATTTTCATCCTTTCTTCTCTCTCATCTCCTTCTAACCACTCAGAATTATTTTTTATTCTTTAATGAGATCCATCATATAAAAAAGTATTGTTGAAGTTTAGGCAGTGATTATCTATCCCTTGGATTATCCCAGTATTTCTCTCTGGTCTCCTTGCCTCCAATTTCTCTCTATTCCTTCTATTCTCCAACATTTGTACCATTTATCTTTCTAAAATAATAAAGAGGATTATAACACTCTGTGCTTAAAAATCTTGATTGACTCCTCATTAGTTATAGGCTAACATTCAAATTCTCTACCTTGGGCAGTACCTGTGTCTCTGTGAGTAGGGCGCCGGCCCTACATACCGAAGGTGGCGGGTTCAAACCCTGCCCTGGCCAAACTGCAACAAAAAATAGCCTGGCATTGTGGTGGGCACCTGTAGTCCCAGCTACTCAGGAGGCTGAGGCAAGAGAATCGCCTAAGCCCAAGAGGTGGAGGTTGCTGTGAGCTGTGACACTGCAGCACTCTATCGAGGGTGACAAAGTCACCTAAACAAACAAACAAAAAATTCAGATTCCCTACCTAGACATGCAAACATTTCATATCTGATCTCAAACTATATTTTCAGATCATTTCCTATCACCAACACATTCTGTAGTCTGCCACTCTGAACAGGCTCTAAGCAAGGGCTCTGTGCCTTTCACAACACTGTAACCTGGCACACGCCTGAAATCCAACCCATGCTTCTTTTTTAGACAATTCTTTTTTTTTTTTT